TAAGGGCTTTTGGAATCTCTGGGGGGCATTCATTGCCGCCTCGACCAACAAGGCCACACGATCCATGTCCCGCTGGCTGCGATTGCGAATCGTCTTCTTCTTGCGGAGGTTCTTTTCCATCATCTTCTCGGTGATGTTCTCCCAGCGGGCCAACTGCTCGTCGGGGTCCGCCACTTGAATCCATGGACTGCTTGATGATGCTCTTCCGGTCTCCATCGAATCTCCCACCAGGCGGTCTGGGCTCTTGGTTGTACGACGCTTGACTGGGGAACGATTCATTGGACCGCTCGTCTCGATCTTCTTGTCCATCTCCTTCTCTGTCTGAAGACGTGCAACGCGATTGTACTTTCGGACATCTCTCTGGGCCGCATACGCGCGAAGTCGAAGCAGACCTTCGGACATGGACTCCACCTTGGTGTGCGTTCGCATCCATGAGATGTAGCTCTTGTCGGTCTCGTAAATGGTGGCCAGATTCATCTTCCCCTTGTGCTTCCCAACTGTCATGGTCTGAGCTCCCATCGCCTCCAATCACTGGCGTCCGCCGGCAAGTCGGGATGCTTGTCCAGCATTGTCGCACCCCCCACTATGTCCTCGGCAGTCACGCTGTTGAACTTCTCGAGCGCTGCCGCAAACTCCGGGGCCAACTTGGCTGGGAGGAGCTTCGCCATGAAAGGTGCTGGGAGGATTTGGACTACTTGGCCTATTGCGAGCTTCACCTTGAGGGAATCCAGCTACAGACGTGATTTGATGCGTGTTTTCGAGCATGTCAATGTCATACTTCTTGTCCTTTGTATCGACACCTACAGTCAGGCATTCTTCAGCAAGTTCTTCTGGTTGACCTTGATGTTGTAGCGGGCCCTTCACGTCGTTGAACATTGGTATGGCATAATGTCCCCTAGAAGTTTCATGAAGATTCACGGTCTCCCCTAGGCTTCGGAAGTAGCAAGTGTCACTGTCCATATCGAGCACAGCCCCAAGCCTACGAAGTAATTCCTTACTCAGGAGCAAAGGAGTCACACTACCCTGTCCTTCAAGGACTGCAGCCTTCAGGCAAATCACTCGGCTTCCTATGCGTGCAGGCAATATTGCAATCTGCTCACTCACAAGGGTACCCGAATTCCCAAACCTAAACTGGCTACGGTACCGGGCCCTCTTAACGCTCAACCCCTGCGTGGCCAGCAGATCAGCAATATTCCTGAGTGTATACGCGCCCACAAGTGTGCGTCTGCAGGCCGTATCCGGCACCCCACAAAAGGCAAGGCTTGGGTCAAAACTCAGACCTGTATCGCTACTTCCCTCAGCACTCAGAACTTCTTCATCTCGATACAGCTGCTTGGGCGCGGGGCTTCCACCGATGTGCTCCACTGTGGCATCGCTCTCGATCACTTCCCCATTGCGTTGGCGATTGCCAGTCGCATGAGAATCAGCAAAGCCGCTGTTGCGCACATCCTCGGCAGTGCCCTGCTGCCACGTAACCTTCTTGGCGACGAACTTCTCCAGGAGCTCCTGACGAAGCTGAGCCGCTCTTGCCGCCTTGCCGCCCTTCGACTTCCCTTTTGAAGCAGCAGCGGGCATTCTCGCTTCCAATGTCCCGGCCGCCGGCACACATGGCACTTGGTTCTCTGTTTCAGCTGCTCCAGTCGTCCACTGACTGTGCCGCTCAGGCGCCACTTCGCGGTGTCTTGAGGCGCAAATCCCCTTTGTTTCTTGCGCTCAGCCATACGACGGCGTATGTCCGTGTACGACTCATACGCCTCGAGGATCGCCTCATCATCTATCTCTTGTTCTTGGAGATCTGGCACTGCTCCCAAAACATCTTGGATCTTGTCATCAGAGTCAAGGTCCTGGCCCTCAACTGCAGTGAAGAACGCATCTTTGTCTCGATGCCGAGAGTTCACGACACCCTTTCCTTCAGGAAAGATTGCCTTCAGCGCTTTGACCATGTCTTTGCGTTCGACGCTCCCCGCAGTGGCAGTCAGCACCATGGCCTCATGACTTGGCTCTAGCTTTAACTTCTTCAGCAACATGAAGCCCAACACCTTTTCTGGAAGCACTATCTCCTGCTCCTTGAGCTTCTGCTCCGCCGCAAAGAACCTGGCTTGGAACTGCTGAAAGGCCTCGCCCTGCTTCACGCTGAGCTCATAGAAGAACTCCTTCAACGCAGTGCACAACAGGTCAGTTGGCTGCGGACCATATTTCTCATCGAGAAGTTCAAGCACAAGTTTGTCGCCTCCTTCTGCGCACAACTTTTCCACAGCTATGGCTTCGCACACAAGTTCCGCTTCGCCTTTGATGTACTGCATAAGCCTCGGACCCAGCTTCTCCTTCGGAATCGTGTTCGGAAGTGCAGCTAACATCAGCTGTGTCCTCCTTTTCCACTTCCTGTTTGCAGACGGGTCATGACCATCAAAAGCTTCGAGCGTCACCTTGTCATCAAGACTCGACATGGCTTCACTACGACCAGCTAACGCCTACGCAGTCAAGCTCCGCTACCACTGTGAGCGCTACGCGCCCACAGTGGTGCACATCGAATCTGTTTTATCCATAGCTGAAGCCCCGCGCTTCGGACATTCACGTTCACATCTGCTGCTTGCCTTTGGCATGCGCACTCGAAGCATGGGATGGTACTTTCACAGCATTTACATTTCAATGGTTACATGTCTGGTGCACACTCCTGAATTCCACCCTTAAAAACAGTCACTTTTAGCAGTGCTTGTTTTGAACCCCAAAAGCGGCACCAATGAAGCAGTGACAGTTTATTCGGTCACCAAGATGTCCAGGTAAGGCCTAATGTGAAATAGTCCCTAACAAGGCCCTAATTTGACATTGTCCCTAGTAAGGCCCTGAGTCGAAATAGTCCCTAATATGGCCCAAAATTGAAATGGTCCCTAATACGGCCAACAGTCCTTAATAAGGCCCTAATTTGAAATAATCCCTTGTGAATTTAGACTAGTCTCTAATAAGGCCCTAATTTGAAACAGGCCTTAATAAAGCTCTAATTTGAAATAATTCCTGATTAGAGATTTATTCCAATTTTGATACAATTTAAGTATTTAATCATGTTTCAATAGGACCTCATATGAATACACCCCCCCTACACTAAATACGATTCCGAGTATTTAAACACTAGGGGGGAGCCCTTTAATATTAGGGGGGAAAGGATTAGAAGAAGCTGCTTGGAATGGAGGCCTTGCTTCGTAGATGCACAAGTTTGAAGAGAGTGTGAGTGCTGGCTGCGTACGGGGCGGTGGCCTCTTGGTGGTCTTTTTCACCTTCACCTTCGCCTGGGCATGTACACATGACTTGTAGAGCTCGAAGGCCCTGTGAAGAGATGTGCACGCCGCATGCAGGCTGCCGAGGCCGTTGCCGTGGCCTTGCGCTTGGCCTTTCGCTGGGTCTGAGAACTTGATTTCACAGCTTGAACCCGAACCATCCGAACCTGATTTTTCTTCTGGTCGGCCTTCTTGGCCTCTTTCTTCTCCTTCTCCTCTTTCTTCTCCTTGTCCTTCTCCTTTTCCTTCTCCTTCGAGTTGGCCTGCTGACTGACAGCTCGAAGGAAACAAAGCCAATGAGGCTGCGGCGTACTACGCACCGCCTCCTTCTTTTTGGCTTCCGGCTTGTCCTTCTTCGCATCCTGAGCTCCAGAAGCCCCCCCCCCCTCCCTTCTTTGGCTCAGCCTAAAGCAGACTCGGCCTTGGCCTTCTTCCGGGGTGGGGAAGAATTTGAGGAAGACTTTGATCTGGACTCGCCTCCGAAGGCAGGTGATTCCTTCGTTTCTCCCATTTCGATCTTTAAACAACCACCAGGCCGGAGCTGGACGAGGAGGACGAGGAAGAAGCCTTGGACGCTGCGTTGGAGGAGCCTTCAAAGCAGGATCCACACCAACCCCCCGGCTCCTAACCCCTTCTGCGTCTCTTTCACAGCCGCAGAGCCTTTCTTGGACGGGCTCTTAGACGGAGCTGGCCTGGAAGAGGTTGCTACATAAACAGCACGTGCTACATCAGCTGTGCGTGCTAGCTTGGGCTGGGGCGTAGTCCTCTTTTCAGCTCCTGTGGAACACATTTCAGCCACCACGACCAACATTAATTACGCGGCATCGTGGTATCTTGAGAACACCCTGGCCAAGTCCTTTCCGCGGAGGCGGCGGAGTCTTGCTTGCGCTGTTATTGCCACGGCCTAAGCCAACAGAGCTCCGGAGCTGCTGCGAAAGCTGCGGCAACGGGTTCCCAGCTGTTGACATCACCGTGTGCAGCATGGGAGTTATTGCCAGACTCCGGCGCTGGGGCAGCCTTGGGCTCTTTGGAAGCCTCAGCATCAAAGATAGCTCCGCATGGCTCTGAAGTTTCCCCTCTCTGGGAAGCCCTGCCGGCTGCGGCGTCAGAGCACAGCGCTGACACTCGTCGTAGTCACATTGACGGCAGCCATAGAACCCAGACCCCTGGTACGGGTCCGAATCGGTGAAGAACGGAGCAGAGAAGCACTAGAATTCTAAGACTTGACCCAGCCTTCACGTGCTCTTTCTCGCAGACACTACACCTCACAGCATCTACTTGCATTAGATCACCCGTTCTTGGATTTAGACCCAGGGGTGATGCCACCAGCCGGTCTCTGGAGTCAGGAAGAAGCTGGCGCAAATTTGCTGCATGTGCACCGGCCAGTAACGGTGCATTGCCCTGAATACCCAGCCTGAGCCCATGCGCTCCAGGGCAGTTGGAATGGACCTTTCCCTCCATCCTGGCAGCTTGAAATAGGAAGCGCAGAGAGAAGGGTCGGAGTCGGATGCATCTTTGACCTCCTGGACACACTCGGTATCTCCGCATCCGTGTCAACCTCGGCTAACACAAGTCAGCGATGCAAAGTGGCACTGCAGTTGCAGTTGTTGCAGTTGCTGCACTTGCAGACCTGCTCGGGCTTCTCTTTGGACTCCTTTGGAGCTTCCTCCTTCGCTTTGGGCTCCTCGGCCTCCTTGCTACCTTCAGGTTCCTTGGGATCCTTCTCCTTCTCCTTGTCTTCCCGGTCCTCGGCCGGTGTGGACGTCCTCCGCTGTTTGAGCACCTCACGACATCAAAGTCATGAAAGGCTTAGGGCTTAGGGGTCTCAGGTCCAGCCTGCATCTTTTGCTTCAGGTGCTCCAGCTGGCGGTTGCTGATGTGGATCTTGGCACTTGTTTTGCCTGCAAGCCAACGAGTCACCGTGAGCTTACACAAGGAACGTGCCGCGAGCCTGGATCAATCAACGCCTCATCCGGGGACGGTTCAGAGTCCTTGGCAAGCCGCATCGCAACTCGCACACGGAGTTCTGCCATGTCCGTGCCAGCATGCCTCCAGGGCCGAGGGCTCCAACCTGCTTGCAAGCCACGCTGCAAGCCACGCATAGCCATGCTTGCTGTGAAATCAGCCCTCAAGGCCCGGCCTGGCCGGTGGCGGCAAGTCCTTGGGCGGCGGCGTCTCCACCTTTGGCGGTGTGGCCGCCTTCTGTCCTGCCAAGCTCAGAGGGGACGCTGGCACGGAGCTGGGGCTTCACATCTGGGGGACCAACGGGGAGTGCGACCTGCAAAGGATTTTGCTTCAAGGTCAGAGAGAATGCTTTCCCTGGGCCTCCGGTAGGCGTGTTGTTGCCTGCTCTGCATCACGTGACAGCCACTCCTCCTTTGTTGGCATCGGATGTGGCCTGTACTGGCATCGACCGTCGCGGCACCACTCCGAGTTGGGGTGCCTGACCCAGGCTCCTTCAAAGCATGACGAACCAGGAAAGATGCTTGAAACATGTACTTATGCATTTATGCAGCATCCACAGATCGCCATCCCCATAGCTTTCAGATGGCAAGAAAGAGCCCAGGCATCATGCAGTCCTTTCTTTGGTTGGCTGGTGGAGGCTCCGGGTGGATCTTCAAAGGCCTGGCCCTGAATCAGAGGCATCAATGAGAGAGTGCTCTTGCATGCTTTGACACATGCTACCATGCTGCTACCATGAGAGGCGGGCACCCGCCTCCATGCAGCCGGCGTTTGCACAGCTACATCATCGGCCTGCAGCTTCCCCAACTGCCGAAGTCATAAAGTCATGCTGATACCCTCGCTCTGCAAGCAATGACCAGCCGGCGCCCTCGACGGCGTCATGCCTCCAGGGTGAACATGAAGCTGCTGTCGTCGAGCTCGATGCCGTTGTAGAGGTCCTTTCAAGGAGCGACTTGCACCAACGGACCAAGTCATCTGGCACTGTTCACGATATGCGCATCGTATCAGATCATGTGCTCTGTGCTTTTCACCGGTGCGGTTGCCGGTGGCGCGCTGGGTCCCAGCCAGGCAAGAGCTCTGAATTCTGTGACATTCTGTGACTACTTCGAAGCGTGGGTAACTTCGACTAACGGCGGCTCAGGGGCTCCGCCGCACCATCCGCACCTAACTAATCTCATTGCTGTCGCTGTCGCTGTCCTCTGCCTGCAAGATGCGATTCCCTAAGCCACCAGTGCCACAACTGCTACTGCTAACCGGGCCTTCCAGTGATGTTCAAAGGGCAATAGGAAGCCGAAGCTGTCACCTCTCTCTTGCCTCAGCCCCCAGGCCCAGACGACTGCACTTAAAGTGACCGACTTTACTCACAGCCAAGCGGAAATGCATGAATTGAATCACCCGTTCGTTTAGCCACTATGGCAGAGGTCTGTTCTACGAAGTGCGCACGTCAATGCCTGAAATGCCTAACGCCAAGTAGACACAACTTTCAACAAATGCCCACCGTCACAGCCAGGTGGGGCAGAGCGGTGTCTTCTGAAAACGACGCTGACAGCAATGGGTTTAGGGGATGGTTTCCCTGAAATTTGAGGTTGCAGGTCGCTTACGCTGACGAATTTGGCTCCTCAAGTACGGGCATGCTACGTTTCATAAGGCTTTTGCATGGATTTGGAGAGTACAGCTCCTCATATTCAGATCACGGGCTTGAACACCCAAACTTGTGAATGCTTGCCACACTGCAGAATACAATACCCGAACATCAATCCACTACTGTCTCAGGAGCCTGTTGCTCAAATTTCCTGGGTTCCATGGCTGATTTACGATGAACCTGGTAGGCTAGTAGACAGTCAGAACCTTGCAGTCCTGAGCAGGCTTGGCAATGTCCCATCCCTCTGAGGTCTGAGCATGCGCTTGTAGGCGCTGAAAATGCAGGCAGGCAGCACGGACACAGACAGCACCTGAGGCGACCGCGAATCGTGCAACACACTTCTAAGAAGAGTTTGACTAGGATGGAGACGACGAGAGATGTCCCAGTGGCACCCATCCTGTCATGTCGCTCATGTCGTTACTGCGAAGGCCAAAGGCTGAGCAGCGCCTGCTGAGCCAGCTTTCTGCCTCCTCGCGGAGTCATGCGAGTCACTGCCACAGCCCCATGCAACCACTCAAAAGTGACAAACCCGTAGTGTTGGCTGAAGTGCCCATCTGAAGGGTTACTGTCAAGATGGAAGCTCCTCTTTGTCAGCTGCCTTGCTGGTTGTCACGGAGATCTCTACGGAGGTCCTCGTGACAAGGGGTTCAATGGCACTGGACAAGTCGGGAAGTGCTAAGGCTTGCGCTCAGAGACCATCTGAAGATCTGAAGGGGGCGCCGCACCTGGCGAAGCGTGACTCCCAAAGCTTTCCGCCAGAGGAAGCCCAGAGGCTGCGGCTTGGGAGGGAACCCCGCAGCGATCCGCCCTCCACAAAGCGGAACAGGACCAGGAAGAGAAGGCCTCCCCCGACTCCCCGACTCAGGGCCATAGCTTAGTTGGTGGCTGCCCGCAGAAATCCGCGTGCCTGCACATCGCCACTTCATGGCTTCAAGCGGGCTCGCAGCGGTCTGTGAGTTTAGGCCTGTCTGCAGCCTGCCTCTTCATTTGTGTTACCCTTTGCTTACTTGCTACCTGTCTGCGTCGACCTTTTTTGTCCATACTGTTCGAGCCAATGCTTCAGTTCTGTGCTTCGGGTTGATCTAGCTTCACTTCTTTGTGAGCCAAGCTCTGCAGAGACAGGCTATGAAGCGACAAATCAACACAACTCATGCAAGCGCGACGCTCATTCGTCTTACAAGGCTGAAAAGGCTAACTGCTTAAGAAAAGGCCGAGCACTGTGGAGGTGCTGCGCCTTGGGCATGAGGCTCTCATCGAGGACAAATACCATGGAGTACAGGTCCACCTCAGGCTTCACTCCCGCGTCTCGCGCACTGAAGCCTTTGGCTCGTAGGCCACACCTCGATGATGTCATCTTGCCGTCCACCCTGCCAATCTTGCTGCATGGACCTTGACAGTAATCCTCGCATGTCGAGGCCTCGCCGTGCCACTCCTCGTAGTACCTGGGCTGCAGGAAGATCCAGTAACGGACAGGATCAAGCGAACTGGGTCCTCAACGAGTTATCGTAGCTATTGAAGTGGTACCTCAGAGCATTGCAGCAGAAATTAGTTCTGATGAAATAGTATGAGTATGTCTGTCTTCTGAGATCTCCCAAGCGTCAGGCCCCTCCTCTTCCCACCAGCCGTCCTCGCCATAGTACCTTCTTCAAGATAAAGCAAAGACTGTTTTGGACGACTTGCGAAAGACTTGGGGATGGAGCATTGTCTGCTGGCTTACTGAGGCAGCCACCCATCGTAAGACCGCTCGCTACGCTCAGCATCTGCTGTGGGAGTCGCGCCTAACTCATTTTCGCCAAGGTCTTCCAAGGATGTGACTCAGAAAATGGGAGCTTGCTTCCTGAAAAGATTACAAAAATTTAGAATGCAAGAGAATATGCAGACCGTTGCTGAGGATGGAACCATCTGATCGACTGGCCTTGGTATGACCCAAAACCGCACCCTTTTGAAACTTGATTTGATAAACACCAACATGCCACGTGTCGATGGGCGTCCCACGACGCTGGCCTTCCTCTGGAGACCTCCTGCTCGAGGGGTCCTAGAAGCACGTAAAAAAGGAATCTGCAGAGCACCGAGCAGATTACAAGTCCTGCTGCCCACAAGGACATCAGACATGTGCTCTACATCTGCACCCACAGCCAGTAGGCGGAGAACATGCCTCGAACTCAGAGCAGAAAGTGAAAATCGGTGCCCATTATCCCTGCTGGCAAAGCCCAGGCCTTCAGCGTCCCATCTGCTGCACCTGTGATCTCCAACCATAATTGCGGGATTGCAAACAGATTTTGTCTGGTAGCCTGGCCTGGCAGAAGGGAGGACTTCCTGGGCTCCTCCATCCCTTGAACCAAGCTGGCAAAGTCCATACAAATCATCGAAGCTTGACTACATACGGGTATCTGGTAAGCTTGTGGAACATATCATGGGTATGTTGCACTGAGCACATCACAGTTCCAATCGACATGTAAACGTAAACATGCAAGATGTGAGGTGCAGTTCCGACATGCAAGTGCAAAGAGGCAGGGTGGCTCGGCACAAACTACTCTACTCGCATGCAACACACAGACACAGCCAAACATGACATCGGCCCCAGTTGTTAATTACGTCAAAAACACATGAGATTACAGCTACGAAGAGAACATGGAAGCGAAACTGTGTGAATGCCACACATGAGCTACAGAGAGGGCACAGACTGCACACCAACATCCCGCAACCACCTGACAAGACTTTGGTTTGTTTGAATAGGGGGCCCAATGCAATGCAATATTCGGTGTGAATCCTGCCTAGGATTATAACAAGTGTGGTGCGGTGTGGTGGTGCCGTGGTATGGTGGTATGGTGGTGTGGTGGTGTGGTGGTGTGGTGGTGTGGTGGTGTGGTGGTGTGCTGGTGTCGTGGTGTGGTGGTGTGGTGGTGTGGTGGTGTGGCTTCCTTGAGGCTCAAGGATGCCAGTCTTGA